CCTTCAAAACGGATCTGACTTTTAAATGCAGTGTCAATAGAATCAGGTGAGCCAGTGTCAGCTGGATGTAAAAGTACCGATGCAGAACTAACAAAATAACAAAGTACTGTTTTTATAACTTTGCACTTGAGCATTTCTCATTGGTCCAACTGTCATACCACCTGACCCAGGTTCTAATGGATGATCCATCAACAGGACATTAAGGATGAAGCTCTGTGCCCCCCCCCCCCGACCCCCCCCTCTCTTCCTGTCACAGTGATTGGTTAATACATAACACTATAGACTGTCAGGACTGCATGGTGCATGGCGTCAAGGTCATTTCAGGGTAACGTACACACACACACACACACACACACACGTACTGCAGCAGCGGTTGACGTTTATCGAGCGCTACATTTGAATGTGACAGGATCTGAGTGACGTCGTTTATGGTTCGACGTGAATTCAACACATTACGGCAGCGGCAGCACAAGGTGAGAGGCAGCAGGGGGCACTGCACGTGTTTACACCTGACAGAAACACTGTCAACAACATCCCGTGTTCAGTCACATCATCCTGCAGGACACGCGTCCACAAACACCACTGGTGCATTAGCAACAGTGCAGACACACAGTGCACAGAGCAGACACGGGAACTCTGCGGCCACGTCCACGCAACAGTGTTGTTGTTGTGATGAAATATGACACAGGACAGTCTCTGCACCGTCGCATTGTGAGTTTCTGAGTCAGAGCAGAGAATTTAAAAACTGTTGTTGCAGCTGGTGCTCTGTGCACCACCGCACCAGAGCACCAGCTCCATGAATGAGACATTTAAACAGCTGGTTTACCTGGTAGCTCAGGATGCTCTGGGGGTCGTTGACAGGCATACTGGTGGGCTCTGGGCTCCCCGGCTCGGGCTCTTTACCGGAATACAGGTAAAAGACTGACGGGGTGTGTGATCCGTCCGTCCCTCTGTCTCCCTCCTCCCGCGGTCTGAGGTCGTATCTGTGATTCGGAGGAGCAGTTAGGAGTTGGCCGCAGCGGCTACTCCTGCGTCTGTGGCCATGCTGAGGCTGAGCGGCTCGTGCACGAGAAAGAAACGATGAAAGAGAACATTTGTGGCCAGTGTTATGGTGAGGAGGATGATGATGATGATATCCCGGCCGCACTTGCTGCTACTTCCCCTCCTCTCCTCGTCCTGGCTGTGGGAGCAGGATGCAGAGAGCATCACTGCAGCCGCAGCCAATCAGAGCGCAGAGCTTGGAAGAAACGGTGCTGCGACGCACTGCTGCTGTCCAGCACAGCAGAAGCGAAGCAGATTTATATTTAGGTCCACACACACGGGCTGCACGGCTCCGTCACAGGTCGTCCTGTTGGCAAACGGTGGTACCAGATATCTAAAAGAAAAAAGATATTTATGTTAAAGAGTTCCATTATTTACCACACGGCAGGTACTACACAGATAAGTATGTGTTTCAAAATGTATTTGTAGTTATGTAAGGGTGTCCAAGATTCAGAAAAAGTTGATATGCTTCATTAATACTTTTCATTTACTTCACGTGTGTAGATATTAACTGTTTTCACTGACATACTAGGGGAATTCCTAAATTAACATTAATTTAATTTTTTTTTAATTATGAGATCAGGAGAAATTAGTTTGAGGAAAGTTTGTCCTCTTGGTGTTTCCATTTATGCCCATGCATTTTTTTTACAAAAAATATTAAAAAAAATGTAAGTCATTAGTCAACATAGTATTTGAAGTAACAAGTGGTAATAATTCATATTTGTCATGGGAATTATACAGAGGTCAACAATGGGCTCAAAAGAGCAAGGAAAATACGGCGGCTTAGATCGTACTGGAAACAAAGTCTTTAGCACCATCTTGTGGTAAGTTAGGGAAATGCCGGACGTTTAAAAGTTTCCTCAGCCTCACACATTGACTCGTCAATAACATTTCCAACATTTTCATTTATGTCATTTGCTGTTTGTGTCACGGGGTCGTTGTCGTTGTCGTCCTGTAAAACAAATAAACCACGTTCTCTAAATTTAGTGTCTCGTGTTCGTGCGCGCCACCTGCACGTGTTAGCGCTCACTGCAGCTAATTACATCGGACAAAAGTAATCGACTGTCTCCAGTCCTTGGCCAATAAGGGTCGGATTGTATCTCCTGGGCACGGTTGTTGTGGTTACTACAAACATATTGTGGCAGCATGCACGGTTGCTATGGGAACAGTCTGCCGGAACTTGAAGAAGGACGCAGCAGAGAGTGGACGGGTCAGCGCCGGCAGGTTCGTACTGGAGTGTCGTATGTTCTTGTGAAAGTTTAGTGACATGATGCGGCAGCTGCAGAGAACACACACCGACACACACACACACGGAGACAGTTTGTGAAAAGGATCACATCTGCTTCATTTTTACGCATGTATTTTTGGTCCGAGCGCGTGCGTGCGTGCGTGGGTGGGTGGGTGCGTGCGTCTTTGTGCACGGTTCGATGTCAGCAGGAGGCTCTTGTGTGGAGCTCAGTCAGCTCTGTCCAGATTTAACCTGATCCAATTTAACCCTGCAGCGACAGGGACGACACGTGTCTCTCTGTTAATGAGCAGGGAGTTTAATTTGATTGGTCAAGCGTGGAAGCTACAGTTAGCACATGCTGCCGCCAGGGTGCCAGGCTTATTTAGCATCTCGTTAACTTGACATCTTTTAAACATCACTCCTAATAACTGTAATGGTGAAAAGGAAATCGTTCCAGTGAGAATATTCTCTGTTGTTGACAGGGAACTGAGAACATCTGAGCAGAACCTTCAAACTCTAAAATGCACCAAATGCCAGGTGAGAACAGTTAAACTTCTGTCCACGTGTCAAAAGTACAGATTTTCCAATTCCTCCTCTCTTATATATTTTTATAAATTCTCTGTTCCTTCCTCAGTGTTGCGTCCCGCTGCGGCTCCTT